GCTAAGTCCTGGGTCCCCTGGGCCTATGACGCGTCAGAGTCCATGCCAACCAACTACTACTACCCGCTACTATGCTCCAGACCGGCCTGATGCCGGCTGGGCTACTGGAAATCTACAAAGACTACGGAGCTCTAAAAACTCAACCTGACCTCACCTACATAATACGCATGTTATAATAATAATAATTCCACACCACGCGTAATAATATAATTATGTGGGTATAATTATACGTTCCGCTTCTGTCCTATCTCCTATGATCAAATTTTATTATCAAGATAAATATTAATACGGTGCACTGATGACCTGTCACGCCAGATCATGGATTGTCGGCCAGATTTCTCCATGTAGGCTTGTCCAGAACGATGGCCCTCACATTCTCCAGCTGATTGCTGCGCTTCAGGTCGATGTTCCTTCTCTGTAAGTCACTTGTGATGCGCGTCGCAATGGATGTCCTTAGACGTCCACGCCCAGCCTTGGCATCTCCTGAAAAATAGCCCGTCAGCGCGATCCATGGCGGCGCATCCCTGTCCATGCAGAGAATATGGCCGGTTAGCTGCCATCTTCTCCTGTCCACGATGTCAGATAGTGGTTCCGTGTTGCAACTCTCATACAGCTCAGTATTCGATATCCTGGCAGGGTAAACTATGCCAATGAGCCGTCGGAGCTGCTTCCGGTGGAATGCGGTAAGTGATTCTGCTTGTGTCGCTGTGAGCCCCCATGCGCCGCAGTTATACAAAAGAACGGGAAGAACCAGGGCATGATACAGTCGGATGCGCCTCTGCTCCCTGACCTTCCTACGCCTCAGCCAGAGGCTATACATCCTGCAGTATGCACTCGAAGCGAGGTCTTTCCTCCGCTCCAAGTTCTCACTGTCGCCATTGAGGGACGCTATCTGTCTGCTGGACCGCCAGGAGTCTGAAGTTGATGTCAGATGCAAGAATTCGGTCTTGGTCTCGTTTACTGTAAAGGACCAATCCCCGAGTTCTGCTCTTATGATGGGGAGGCTTCGCCTCAGCCACTCCTCACTGGTTGAGTACAACGTCACATCATCGGCGTAACCTGTTTCTCCGGGGATGTGACAGTCGGCGAAAGGGCGTTCGGGAAGGTTTGCTCTCACTTGGCGTAGTGCTGCCTCCAGGTAACAAAAAAAGAACAGAGCTTAGGCCATCTCCCTGGGGGTGCCTATGGTGCTGAGAAACGGATTGGCAGTTGCCTTTCCTACTTTCACTGATATTTGTGTGTGGAACAGTAGGTGCTGGATCATGCACACTTCATCGGGGCCAGTCACTGATGCCATGACGTCTAACAGTTTGGTGCGATCGATCGTGTCGAACGCACGGGACATGTCAATTCCCAGCATGTGGCATTCCCAGTTGTATCGAGTCGCCTTCGCCGCAATCCAGCGCTGTGTCCATACCACATCTGTTGTACTTCGGCCTTGTCTGAAGCCAGATTGAGTTGGACCAACATAACGAGCAACATCCTTTGCGATTCGGCATTGTGGGGTGATATTAGCGATTTCAAAAAATGAGGGAAAGTCGAAGACTGAAGAGAAGTATTGAAAATGGCTGATGTGGAAGGTGCAACAACATTGGATGTGGCCTTCAGGATACTGGGAAGAAGACAATCGGGTCCTGGTGCTTTGCTGCTGTCGAGGAAGGCAAGTCATCTGTTACAGTGACTTGAGTTCTAATGTGGTCGACCAATGTGCCTTTTGTGCTGTTGGAAATGGGGGTTGTTGTGGAGAAGATCGCTCTGCAAGCTGCGTACTCAGAAAGCAGACGATGGTACCTCACATGCTGGGATTTAGCTGTTTGTGCAATATTGGCAAGCTCAGCTTCAGCTGCTGGTGTGTTGAGGGTTGAAGATTGCGGCTGCTTACAACCTGCACTGGAGCAGACGTAAACTCTTTGAGCACCTTTGCCTCAAGAGCACGCTGGATGTGGTTGCCCACAAAGGCACCAGCATGGTAGGCTTGCCTTTTGATATTGTTCAGGAGGTCGCACTTGTCACTGACATGCACTCTCGTTTTGTGTTACATGTAGCTGTGACTTTCGTTAGGGTTCACACTTTTAAGTCACAGGCTTTGTCTTCACCTTCTTTCGCGCCTGCTGATGGAGTTCTTGGCATGCAAGTGTTATAAGCTAGACGTTTTCACTGCAGTTGTCAGTTGGCTATAGTAGGCTGTAGTGCTTACGATTTCGGTGAAAGGCTTCAAACAATTGCGGCTTGGAGCCAGAGTTTTCTAACAGAGTTCTCTTGATAGTCGCGAGCTGGTCCTTTGTGTGGTGTGGGTGGGTGCCGAGGCAGGAGCACGCCTCTACAGAACAGATATTGTATTGTTGCAACACCTGCTCAAGAGAAGAAAAGCAGGGACCAGCAGCCTTGCTATTCTTTTCAACTAGTTTTTCAAACTCTGTTGAAAATGTTTGCAGGTCTCTTCTAGACCCGTTTGCTTTTCCTTCCACTGCACCCGCAATGCAACCGCCAATAGCTGTACTGACTGTACAGGCAGGCCCTGTTGCTGAGCATACAGTATAACATACTACAGCTGCAGTTAAATGGCTTTGTGCTCTTGTTGAGCTTTAGCGAGAGTGGGTTTTTTTCTTCCATTAGATTTCTAGCCACGACTAGTGACCGGAACGTACTTTGGTCTGTTTCGGCCATTTCTTGGCCTGGACACTTAACTAGGTCTAAGTCTAGAGCTGAGTACAAAAGGCATCGTAAAGGTATGGAAATATGCCAAGATCCAGATGCAAAACTGGAATACATACTTGCTCCAAAGCAATGGGCAAAATACAATGCCTGATAACATTGTTATTGTTTGCATTGTGTATGACAGCGCCAGAATATGTGAATGTAGTGAAATCTCTCGAGAGTGTCTCGAGGCTGTGATTGCTGACGGGAGTGCGTTGCTCTCTCTCCACTTGCATGGCCTTCTTTCGCAGTGGCAAAACAAGCAAGGACGCACCCCACTGAAGCCCGAAAGGCCATAAATTTTCGTAAGGAACTCGTCATCCGCAGACAGATACATCTCCCTTCCCATGCTGTGTTCAGCAAAGTCTCGACCTGTCGTCTGTAGCGGCCAAGTGCAGTTTCAAGATTGGCTGCAAGATCCTTGGCAGTAAAGAAGCACACTGGAACTGTGTTTTGAGGGGCATTGGGGTCGGGTACATTCAAGATTTGGCAGCAGAATTTGAAACTACCACCACCATGGTCACCCCCCCCCCCTCCCAATTTCACCCAAATTTCATCACTTGGCATGCCATCATGCCAGGTCAGTGTCTCTGCAGACTTGTGCAGGTCAAGGAGATGTGTAATGAAGGACACAAGATCTTCAATGTACACCATCGGTAGAATGAAGTTGAAGACACCACTGCAGCTGTAATATGGTTGATAAATATGGTGGTAAAGACACACCTGGCAATATGGCGGTAAACACACGCCTGCCCACACACGCTCTCTAGGCTGCAAAGTTCTGGCACAGAGCTCTCCTTCTCACCACCACCACCACCATCAGTTTGCGCCTGGCGCCTGGTCGATGCATGGTTGGTGGTATCCGGCATAGCAGGCTGGTACATCAAGTAGCGCATGGCACATAGAAGATGACACAGCAACGACATAGCTCGATTGTATACCAGCCACAATACGGTGCGGAGAAAGTAACTGCTGTGCATGAAGTTCCTTCTTGCAGAGAGGGTAGTTGTTGTGCATAGCTAGCCGGAAGGAAATACATGGTGTGCAATACAAATGGCTGCAACATGGTGACTCCACTGCTTGGTTGGCAATGTTGAGACAAATTGCACACTTCACTTCGGCATACGGTTGTGCAAAGTGTTCCGGTGCTGGCTCAGCATCTGCCTATATCTATCTAGGTGTAGCTATTGCAGAAATAGTGTGCAATGTTTCGTGAAGTGTTGTGTGTGCACAAGCCGCTCAGACAATGCTCAGACAATGCTCAGACAATGCTCAGACAATGCTCAGACAAGGCCCAGATAATGCATCTGCTTTGGCAGAAGAGCAGCTGGTACTGCAGGGTTCAGAAGAGGAGGCGTTTAGCAATCACAAACCACCAATTTTTTCTTTCTTTTTTCTGCCCCCTTGACATAGTTGGCTGAGCCTTGTACATAGCTCACAGCCAGCACATCAATGTGGAGACCATTCTTGCAGAAGTCCACAACCCACTGAGCCAGATAAAGTCTTGTTTTCTTCATAAGATCTAGTAATCGTTCTATGACAATTGCTGCACATTTGTGGTGGGTGAGTATTGCTTTAGTCAAGCAATATGTCCAATTTTAATACAGATTTGACTGCTTCTGGGTAATTGGAGACCCTATAAGTCGTGCCATGACTAGTCGAGGTGGCCACCAAAGCGACAGACACGCTAAAGGTTCTCCAAATGTTTATCCATAACATACAAACATCAGTAAAAAGAGTACAGACAGAAGGCCACTGCGGGCGGAAGAACGTAGCCGCGGGAGCTTCGCATCCACCACAAAGGGAAGATGGTGGGTAATGTCACAAGGAAAAACTGACTCCCGCACCAGGAAAACTACGCCAACAGCACAAATCATGGGCAAAGGGCACCTACTCAGCAACGGCAAAAGGGCTACGGCGTAGGAAACAAAAGATTCGAAGACAGCAACAAAGAAGCACGTCTGCTTCGTCCTAGAAAGGAAAAAATTGGTTCTCCAAGGAGCTCTCGTGATGGCGAAATATTCCAGCGCGGTGGAGAGATCAGCTGTCCAAGGGACTTTTGAGTATTGAAATCGATGCAGAAAGCTGCAAACTGAGAACCACAGTTTGAACTTGAGAACGGGAAATCCCCGAAAATCACTCAACACTCAAGGTCTCGCTCCCGGATCGAAGTGGCAGGATTCTGCATGCATTTAACAGCCGTGCATATGCTGTCTGATGAATGTTTTCACACGAAAATCCGAGTAACAGCGGAAAGAGATTTGTTTGCTTCATTGCTGTGTAATCTTTGTTTATTTGAACAGATGCTGATGAATGTAGCTTGAACATTCATAAATGCACTGGCATGGCAACATGTGTAAACACACACCGGTCATACCAGTGTACATGCTCACCAGCATTTCGCAGTAATGGCACCGACTGTGAAGGTAAATAATTATTACAGATTTACACACATGCTTTGAAATTGGCCAAACGGAGTATGCATGCCGGGCATTAAAATGTAAATTGAAAAGGTGGTTCTCGACTCGCCTTGTATGTAAACCCAGAATATTTATACTCGTATCTTACTCAATCTGCGGACAGAACTGTTTCGTCCTTTGTGGACGAATCAGCGCAGCACAGAGAAAATGAGGCCGAACCTGATAGAAATGAAGCCAAGTTTAAACCAGGCCCGAACGTACCTTGCCAGAGTGCTCAAACTGACAAGTCAGTGAGCTCTGCGTAACGCAAACAACAAAGGCACTACCCCACACCAGAGTGCTCAACTGCTACAAGAGCTGGAGGGAAATGTGTGTGTGTGGGCGTGTGTGTGTGTGTGTGTGTTTGTGTGTGTGATCGTATGCACACGTGTACGTGTGTATGTATGTGTGTGTACGTGTACGTGCATGTATGTGTGCTATTTTGTGGCAGATATCAACGAGTGTCTTCTGCCCTCACCGCCCTGTGAATATGAAAGGTGCATCAATGAGATTGGAAACTATACATGCTGCCAACGCGGGTATATCGCCAATAGGACAATGCTGAACAGTGCCGGGATTGAAGAATGTACAGGTTAGTACTGTGGATCTTCATGCAGCTTTAATTCTTGTGACTACTCGATGAGGTGTTTTAAATGGACCGATGCACCTGTCTTTACAAGTCACTGAGCTCTGCGTAACGCAAACAGCAAAGGCACTACCTCACACAAGCGTGCTTTAAAACTGCTACAAGAGCAGAAGCGAAATACTCAATCTGCGGACAGAACTGTTTCTTCCTTTGTGGAGCACAGATGATTATTTCTTTATATTTATTTACGTTCGTCAGCCGTGGTTGGCTTTCACCCCCTCCCTTTCGATTCGCAACTAAATGCCATAATAGGATGTTGAATAAGTTAACGAGAGAGCTTGGAAGCTCAGGCCCCCCCCCCTCCTCTACGCAATGCTTTTTGGCTTGTTGACCTAGACAAAAAAAGCATAGGGGTGTTATAAATTTTCTTATAAATTTTCTTACAAATTTCTCCTACTTTTTTTTAAAGACATGACCTGGGATTCAAACCCGCATGCCCTGCATGCATCCCCGATACACTTTGCATACATACTAATTTTTCCAAGTTGCTTCACGTTATGATCTTGCATTTGAAAGCCCTATTTGAATATTGTGGCCAGCCGTCTTTGGTACGGTACGGTAGGAAGGGCCCGAATATGCTTTCGCATATTTTCGCATATTTTGGTCCTTTTGACACAAGGTCGCATACAGTAGCAAATCTAGCATATCGTACCAAATGTAGCATATTTTGCTACAAGGAGCAAAGAATTCGCATAATTATAGGGCAGATTGCGGAAATGGACAAGGAAACTTACCACGCACGCACGGTCAGGGAACATTTCCAACCTCAGCCCGAAAGGAAAAATGCTCATCCAAAACACGGGGCGAAAATTTGACCCGAGAAAAGAGTGTCCGCGAATCAAGGTCGCATAAAGTAGCAAATCTAGCATATTGTACCAAATGTAACATATTTTGCTACAAGGAGCAAATAATCTGTATAATTATCACAGATATCAGTTCATATTTCGAGCATATTTCGCGCATATTTCGAGCATATTTTCTGCTTTTGTGTGATTTCGAAGCATATTTTGAAGCAAGTGGCCAATATGCGAAAAGCATAATAATGCGAAATTGTTGAGCATATTTGGGCCCTCTATACGGTATGGTACGGTATGGTATGGGACAGGTACGGTCGAGGGTGATACGACACAGTCTACCGCCTTGATGACCTAGGCAAAAAAAGCATAGGGATGTTATAAATTTTTCAATTCTCCTATTTTTTCAGGTATAACCTGGGATTCGAACCGTGGTCGCACTATTGCCCTACATGCATTCCCCGGCACACTTCGCATTCATACTCATTCTTCCAAGTTGCTTCACGTTATGATCTTGCATTTGAAAGCCCTATTTGAATATTGTGGCCAGCTGTTTGTGGCCAGCTGTTTGTGGCCAGCTAGCTGTCTTTGATGGTTACGGTACGGTACGGGACAGATACGGGAAAGCGCTAGGCGTGACACAAACAAACAAATAAACACCAAACGAGAAAGCTTGGAAGCTCAGGGCCCTACGCTATGCTTTTTTGCCTTGATGACCTAGACAAAAAAAAAGCATAGGGATGTTATAAATTCTTTAAAAAATTCCTTTTTTTAGACATAACCTGGGATTCGAACCCGCACTATCGCGCGCCCTGCATTCATCCCCCGATGCACTTCGCATACATACTAATTCTTCCAAGTTGTTTCACATTGTGATCTTGCATTTGAAAGCCCTATTTGAGTTATATGCATTGTGGCCAGCCGTCTTTGATGGCACGGTACGGTAGGGGATAGGGACGGGACAGGTACGATCGAGGGTAATACAACACCGTCTCCCGTACCGTACCGTACTATCAAACACAGCTGGCCACATACAGCTTCCCGCAATATTCAAATAGGGCTTTCAAACGCAAGATAATAACGTAACGCAACTTGGAAGAATGGGTATGAATGCGAAGTGTATGGGGGAATGCATGTAGGGCGATAGTGCGGGTTCGAATCCCAGGATATGCCTGAAAAAAGGAGAATTGAAAAATTCATAACATCCTATGCTTTTTTGCCGTCAGATACGGATAGCGCCAGGCGTGACACAAACAAACACACAAACAAACACCAAATTAAAGCTGTGTGGACCCTGGCTAGCGCCAGACATTACTGAAGTAACGTCTTCTGCATAGCTACGGGAATTAAAGCTGAGTGGACCCTGGCTAGCGCCAGACGTTACTGAAGTAACGTCTTCTGCATAGCTACGGGAATAATAAATATAATACAGTGTTGTGATGGTGGTCCCTGGTGCAAATTTCTCCCTGCCGGGCGCATTGAACATGAAGCAACAGTATTCAACAGTATTCTGCTTATAACCGTTAGTGTTGGACAAAACGGATAACTTGTAAACTTTTGGTCCACTTTTTTTAATTTTTATCCTTGGCTCTCCATCCGAGTTTATTAAAGTGGAGATGTGCATTAAACTGTCGTGACATCGTCATATCATCTGCGCCTTCTTGATAGAGTGCAAAGACGCGCCCTCCACATTCTTGGCCCTGGTGTCCTCCTCCACAGTTTGGCAGCAAGGAGATCGGTCGACGCCCTCAGCTATATGTATGAACTGATGTGCCTGGCAGGCCACCGCAACTAACGTTGCTGGTCCCCCACAGCTTCCTCCACCAACATGTCCACGAGCTCGGTCCGGCCACTCGGTGTGCCACGAGTCGCAGCTACAGAACGTCCTCCCGGCTTTCTCTCCTGATTATGTGCGACGCTGCTTCCCCTACAGCATCACTGATGAGTGGAACAACTTGCCCCCAACTGTGCTGCAGTCTCCGCAACGCCTGACGTCCCTCCAGTCGTTCAAGGGCAAGGTGCATTAGCACCTATGACAAAGCTGCTGGTGTTGGGCCACAGTCTCGCTGTAACACCCCATATATCCACAACCAACTCCCTCCCCCTCACTTATCTATTGACATGTGCCTCGTAATCCCGTCCATGGTGCGCTGGATAGCGCTTACGCCGAGATCCTAGGTCGGCGTTGCTAGTCCCGCCTCGCCGGCACAGGCTCCCTGAGAGCCCCTACCAGTACATTGTCGGTCTTGCTCCTTTGTTATCTCGATCATTATTCTCTTTTGTCTTCGTCTTCTCCTCTCTTTGTGATGGTCTATCAGTAGGAGGTGCATTCTGTAAAAAAATAAAAAATGATAACCAGTAAGAAAGTGCGATAATAGGACACAAAACTGACCCGTCTTCGGTACTACGTAACCATGAACCTTCCAAATTGGAGGGCTGTTGGTTTGCGCACTGGAGATGTGGTGAAGCTAGGTCTCGGTTCGCTGAATGTCTCAGTAGCCCGTCAGTTTTGTGCCCTATTACGGACGTTTAGCAATGCGAAAATTATAACTTTTGGTGGTGATATTTCGCGAAAATCTATTTCGAAAAAAAATCTGCTGAGGGTTAGCAATGCGATATGAATTTTTCTCGAAGCTATTTGAATCTTATAGTACCGTACCATATATGCAGCTCAGTCTGAAGCAGGCAGCTGTAAAATGACTACTCCCTGTAGTCAAATGCGTACCGAGAAAAGAGAAAGTTACTTTCGCAAATCACTACATCTTTGTGTCGAAGTTTTCGAAGTTTCGAGCTTTGTTTCTGTACTTATTCCCAGACTCGAATTTTCTTTCGAACTTTCGCGTTGCTAAACGTCCTTATTAGAGAGGTTCCGCATAACGTAAGAAAGTTAGTAGAAAACGTAGTTGATCTACGAAAAGTCTTACGTAAACTGCATGCACATCTGGGTTCCACCATACGGAGTTTTCAAATCACGTAGCTGCCCTTGGCAACTCCGAACGCGGCAGTGTATCACCAGATCGACCTGAGGAGAGTCATAAATTTGTACCCAAATCCACTTACGGACCAGCTACGGTAACAGAGCCCTATCTACGTACTCTCCGTAGACAACTTTCCGTAAGTGGAGTGCGAAATCGCGAGTTCACGGGTATTTCCCGCCCACTAACGTACAGTTGAGCAACTTTACGTAGTGCGGAACCTCTCTTTCTGACTGTTTATCATGGTACAGTCATGAATAGTGCTTGTTCTCCTTTGTTTCTTCTATTTTCTTTAAAATTTGATGAGCTCACGAGAAGTCCACCTGAGCATCTGAGGGAAACACCAATTGCTGTTTAACCCTTTGCCAACCATAGTACAGGTACCACAATGTGATTTACTCCGAGCCAAACTGTCCTGGCTCTACGATGACCAGAAGTGCCATACTTAGCAAGCGAGTTTTTGACGTGTTGCTCCGCATTGCAACTTGAGTTTTGACGTCTTTCGAAAAATCAACTTCCTATCGCAGGTAAACAGCGGCTCACCTCTCACTAATAAAGCACTGTCTACCAATGAAACTAATGGAAGCACCCACAGGACGTATTGTTTCTCTGTACTGGCCGTCGTGGAGCAATTACCAAATTTCAGAACTCAGCGTAAACTAGACGTGCACTCCAAACCATTTCCGGTTTGGAGCCACCTCTGATTTGAAACCTAAAATAGGGCAACTTGGAAGCAACGGGCCAACACAAAGGAGTGGCTCAGTTCGATCGACTCTGGCCTTAGAGCAAACTTCAACATGCCATATTTCGAAAGGAACAATCCACGCTGATGATCTGTTTGGATCTACACAATTTTGCTGTCAAAGTGTTCCTATTCAACCCGTCCCCTCTACCCCCACTCTTATACGTTATTGTCATTCCAACTATTTCCTACTACTGATTTCCGACTTCTTCTTCTGTTGTCTGCTTAAAAGGGCAAGCTATTTGTGTATTCAATTCATGTAGTTAAGGCAGCATGCTGCACATCTGTTCCATAGAAATCAGATCCGGCTGCGTTCTCTTGGTTATTCACTCCTGGTACAATGGAACCTGCAGAAAAAGAAGAAGAAAAAACACAACCGAGCCAAGAAGGGTACAACACGGGAAATTTGTCGATTTGTAAAGTGAATTGTTTTCTAGCGCACCATTTGGGAATATCTTCTTTAAAGCGTTCCTCCTGCCGCTTATTCGGCGTTATCCGGATTCCACCGATGGTAGACTGCACAACCGTGGAACAAGGTAGGTTTGTTTCAACGCCAAGTTTCATGTACTGAAATCCTCAAGGTTGTATTCATATTAATTTTGTATTGGACCAGATGTCGATGAATGTAGCTTGAAGGCCGATGCTTGCACTGGTCTGGCAACATGTGAAAACACCTTTGGTTCTTTTCTCTGCAAATGCCCACCGGAACTTAGGAGCAATGGCACCGACTGCCGAGGTAAATATTCGATCCATCTTTCTATCTCTCTATATCTATCTATCTCTATCTATCTGCCTCTCTCTATTTACCTCTCTCCCTCCTTCCCTCTCTCTCTCTCTCTCTCTCTCTCTCTCTCTCTTTCTCTCTCTCCGTTCTCTCGCTCTCTCTCTCTCTCTCTCTCTCTCTCTCTCTTTCTCTCTCTTTCTCTCTCCCTCTATCTCTCTCTCTCTCCCCCTCTCTATATCTCTCTCTATCTCTCTCTCTCTCTCTATCTCTATCTATCTCTCTCTCTCTCTCTCTCTCTCTCTCTCTGTCTCTGTCTCTCTCTCTCTCTCTCTCTCTCTCTCTCTCTCTCTCTCTCTCTCTCTCTCTCTCTCTCTCTCTCTCTCCTCTCTCTCTCTCTCTCTCTCTCTCTCTCTCTCTCTCTCTCTCTCTCTCTCTCTCTCTCTCTCTCTCTCTCTCTCTCTCTCTCTCTCTCTCTCTCTCTCTCTCTCTCTCTCTCTCTCTCTCTCTCTCTCTTGAATAGAAGCCACCCTCGAATAGAAGCCGCAATTTGCGGCCCATCAAATCACACATAAGCCTGGTTTTAGTGTTGACATACATGGAAATACCTGTCTTGTATAGAAGCCTGTCTCATAGAAGCCTGCAAAATTTCGTCAAGAAAGTCATACAAGCCGCGGCTTTTATACAAGAATTTATGGTATCTTTCTATCTATCTCTCTCCCAATCTGTCTCCCTCTCCCAATCTCTCTCTCACTCTCTCTCTCTCTCTCTATCTCTCTCTCTCTCTATCTCTCACTCTATCTCTCTATCTCTCTCTCCATCTCTCTCTATCTCTCTCCATCTCTCTCTCTCCATCTCTCTATCTCTCTCTCTCTCTCTCTCTCTCTCTCTCTCTCTCTCTCTCTCTCCATGTCTCTCTATCTCTCTCCCTATCTCTCTCTCTCTCGCCATCTCTCTCTATCTCTCTCTCTCTCTCTCTCTCTCTCTCTCTCTCTCTCTATCTCCCTCCCTCTCTCTCCCTCTCTCTCTCTCCATCTCTCTCTATATCTCTCTCTATCTCTCTATCTCTCCATCTCTCTCTATATCTATCTATCTATCTATCTATCTATCTATCTTTCTATCTATCTATCTCTCTCTCTATATATATATATATATATCTCTATCTATCTCTATCTCTATCTCCCTCTCCCTCTCTCTATCTATATATATCTCTCTCTCTATCTCTATCTATCTATCCATAGATCTATTTCATTGCTATTAGGTTCGGCCTCATTTCCTCTGCGCTGCGCTGATGAGTTCACAAAGAGCGAAACAGCATGCTGTCCGCAGATTGAGTATTTTCGCTCCAGCTCTTGAAGTAGTTGAGCACTCTCATGTGGGGTAGTGCCTTTGGTGTTTGCATCACGCAGAGCTCACTGGCTTGTCAGTTTCAGCACTCTGGCAAGGCACGTTCAGGCCTGATTGGAAATTTATATTTTCATTGCTAACAGGTTCGGCCTCATTTCCTCTGTGCTGCGCTAATGAGTTCACAAAGATCGAAACAGCATGCTGCCCGCAGATTGAGTATCCATCTATCTATCTATCTATCTTTCTATCTCTCTCTCTCTCTATCTATCTATCTATCTATCTATCTCTCTCTCTCCCTATCTCTCTCTCTCTCTCTCTCTCTCCCTCTCTCTCTTTCTCCCACACATAAAGTGCAGTTCACGTACAAAACCTCGTGTAAGTGAACTGCACTTTATGTGTTTGCCATTTCTGAGGAAATGGTCAGGCCTACCTCGATGCGCAAACTCTGCCATTATTTTTATTGGCAGTCGCAAACGCTTCGACTTACGCCTCCACTACCTTCCTACGGTGTGGAAAAAGTGCCAGTCCATCAACTGGCGCATTCTTCGATCGAGTGGGGACGCGCACGTGAGGGCGCTGTACACTCTGCGTCGGAGTAAGGATGCGAAGCTGACAAAGCGGTATGCGGCGACAATAGAGCTGGAGTGTGCAGAGGCATCAGTAGGTTCAGGGACTCTCCGTCCACCGTCATCGTCAAGTCATCGTGCAGGGTTGGGTGCTCGTGCTCCGAAGCAGCATTCCAACCCCCCGAGGAAGGATCTCCTTCAAACATTTGAGGAGATCAACGCGCAGGAGCAGATTTTTAGGCTGAAGACTCTTCAGGTGCAAGGCAAGTGGTTGGAGTGGACATCGGTGATGTGGCATGACCTTTCGTGGAAATCAATTCTGTATGGTGGTACTGGTAAGGATTTGATATGTCTTCTCGCGTCAACCCTCGACGTGCTACCTTCTCCGACGAACCTACGCCGTTGGGGAAACTGTCGACCTGGTCCGAGCAGAGGCACAGCTGGTGGTCAGCTAGACAGTTGTCATCATGTTTAATTTCCTTAGTTCTCAATCTATCATTTTCATGCCAGACGTGAGCCCGTCCCTGGCTTAACAAAATGGGTGCTCCTTTTTAGTTTTTTTTTTTCTTCCTTTTAGTTTAGTTTTTCTTCTCTTCTTCTTTTTATTTTGCTTTGCCCGTACAAGAGGCTTAAACGATTCAAATAAACCACGGTAGTGGATCCGTACTGTAGTTTG